CATGTAGTTGTAAACAGCATGATAATATATTAAGTAATCCAAAGTATTCAGAATACGTTACTCTCATTGAGTAATGTAACGGAATACGTTACAGAATACATTTTGGGGCATGTATTCTGTATTCTGTAATGGAATATATTTTAAAAGTAACCTTCCCAACACTGAACACACATCAGCCAATTCTTTAACTCAGCTCTGTAGCACAATTCACACAATACTTTCATCAGCATTTTTGCACACTTCCCTGAGCTTCCTTAAAGAAAATTGTCTCACACACACACACACACACACACACACCCTTTTCTCTCAGACTTTCAAAACAATGTGCACCTTTGATCATTGATCTAAATAACAATTTTACACTTCATTTATACATTCACACATTTATAAAGACACCGACTCCCAAGATAAATTATTTCCATTATCACAACTTCACATCATCTTCCTCTAATAATAAACCACCCTCACATCTCAGTAAATGCTGCATTTGAGTCCTCTTTCCCACACATCACACGGCAGCTTCCCCAGCCGTGACAAAAATATTCTATTAGAGTAGTGGTCCCCAACCCCCGGGCCTCGGACCGGTACACACGCACACAAACACATATACAATGACACAGATACGCTTGCCAGATTCAAGCACTATGTGAAAGAAGCAAAGGATCACAAGAGAAGGTCATCCATGTTAAGGCCCTGGACATATTTTGAATCAAGGTGTCTGGATTTTGTTCCATATGCGATTTCTGTGCCTTTAAGTGTCTCTTTAGGTCCTCTTTCTGATTGGAGAGCTGGCAGCTGCTGATCGGTTCCCATTATATAGTGGCCGCTTTAAAACCCAACCAGCAGGAAATACTAAAGCAGAATAGGTGAACTGCCTTATTGTTTTCTGTACTTTTTCTCTTGTTAATTAAATTAGGGAGTTAGGGGTAGCGCTTGTCTTTTGTTTGGTGTTTGTTTCATGCAGGGTTTAGATAGCACCTTTCTTTTTGAAATAGTTTGTTTTGTTTTTTGTTTTTTGTTTTTTTGGCCTTTGTTCACCCCAGCGTAAATGCTTTCACTTTTTGGTAGCAGTAAAACCACCCGGAACAGTAAATTGTCTATTGGGCATGGCTTTGGGGACACCTCTTTTTTAACCCTTATGTTGTGCTCCTGTAGCCTTAGACCTGGACGTAACAATGAGAAGTTATTAATTTATAAGAGAGAAAGGAAGCAGAGTTACAAATCATAAAGATGTGGTGCAGATCAAAGACAAAGTTAACAAGTTACACAAGTTATGTCCATTTCTCGATGGCCAAGGCATTCTTTGAGTAGGTGAATGCTTAACACATTCAGTCCTGCATACCAATGTCAAACATCCCACAATCCTGCCAAGAAACAGCCACATGTTGGCATTACTGGTCAAACGTTATCATGAGAAGACATACGATCAAGGACGAGGGATCATTATGAACAAACTTTGAGCTAATAGATTCTTGGATGCAGCAAGATTATGTCATCTTGATAGTGGCGCGGCTGCCCCTCTGTTGGTCTTCCTTGGTCTCTTGTGTTCTGGGGGCCTCTGGATGTCTGGAGTTTTGATCTCCTCCATACCTGCTTCATGCCCTGGAGGACGGGGCTGTGGCTCCCCCACACCCTCTAGCAGATCATTACATGAAGGAACCTTTTAAAAACAAGTGCGTTCACGCTCACAGGTGTACACACGGGTGATCACACACACAAACTACACCCTTTTTGGCTCCTACCTTAAAGCACACTGTGCGCTGTCGATCTTACGTGCTGCACAATAATGTTTAATATTTAGTATTTACTGTCATATTCCCATATATCATTGTGATGTTGTTTATTCTATTACTCTCGTTTTCTTCTGCTTGTTTTCTTTTCTCTTTCTCAACAGGTGATTCAGGTGATCGATATATTTATTTATATATTTTTTTTTGTCTGCTTATTCTGTTGGTTTTTGTTTTTTGCCCTTCTCCCCCGTCCCTCTTCTCAGCCGTTTTTCTTTCCCTCTTTCTTTCTCCCCTTTCTTTCCCCCAGTCAAGTCTGTCCCGTATTCAGCAAGTGAAAATAAAATAAACAATAAAAGGTGAATCAAATGGACCATTACGGCAAGGCTGGGATGGTCAATTTGGTAAAGTAAATCCGTTGGGCATCTTTCTTCGCCTTCAGACAATAATTCTGATGGCAAAAGAGCCAAACGGGACAGGCAAAAAAAAAAAAAAAAGATTATATCATCTTACATCAATAAATATGTAAAATGCAGAAGGTTCAAAAGGCACACAGGGCAGCAGAAGACAGAAGACCCCCCCAGAGAAAGGGATGGCGACCACACCGCCGTTCACATACTGTGGAATGGTCCTTTTATGTCAAGGAAGGTCTCAAGGAGTTAAAGCGTTTTGGCTAGCTAATCACCTGCATGTGCTCCAGAGCACTGCATCTTGAGATGCTTGACGATCTCTCTATGGATTCTCTCATCAATTCCTTATGTGTGTAACCCATGGTTGTTTAATTGCCAATGGTATTCCATTTTATTCTAATTTTAAGTGTTACTGTTTTGTTAAGTGTTGAGTTTTCCCATGTACCGTGACTTTGTTTCACTGCATCGGCCTGCATAGAGCTAGATGCGCAAAAGCTGTTGTGGAGATTCGGTCCTGTAACGTGTTGCGCTATGGAATGAATATTTTCTTTGAAGAATATCCTGGCGAGTCTCACAGTTGCAGATTAAGTTGTGATTCACAGTCCGGTTTCTGAGTATAAAACCAGTCAGGATACTATGTTTGTCGGAAATGTGATGTTTGTCATAGAACCTGCTAACATCCTTTGACATGCTTGTGTCCAGGGCCCAGTTTCAAAATAATGTGTCAGTGATTTCTATTTCTTCAACCCTTAGACATTTATCTAAGTTGAGAAAGAGAGAAAACACTGCTAAATAAATAAATAAATAAATGAATAAATGGAACACAAAAACAGGAAATCCCATATCAGAATGAATGAAATACTCTTATTAAATACTCTGTATCCTTTACATAGTTGAATTTGCTGACAACAAAAATCACACAAAAATTATCAATGGAAATCAAATTTAGCAGTCCATGGACATTTAGATTTGAAGTCACACTCAAAATTGTGTGGAAAAGACAAACTACAGGCTGATCCAACTTTGATGTAATGTCCTTAAAACAAGTCAAAATGAGGCTCAGTAGTGTGTGTGGCCTCCATATGCCTGTATGACCTCCCTAAAACACCTGGGTATGCTCCTAAGGAGGTTGTATAAATAAAGAAGGCAGACTGTGACAGAGCGCAAGTCCGTGAGTGTCTCTTGCGTGTACGAGCGCTCTGTGACTTGTCCTCACGAGTAAAGACAACTGCAGTGTTTGTGTTATCTAACTCAAGTGTCTCAGCTGAAGAACTCCGGGGTGATTTTAAGAAATCCCCTGTCACAGATGGTCTCCTGAGGGACCTTCTCCCAGACCTGGACTGGTGGAGGTCATTTTGCAGGACTCTGGCAGTGCTCCTCCTTGCCCAAAGGTGGAGGTAGTGGTCCTGCTGCTGGGTTGCCTTCCTATGGCTTCCTCCACATCTCCTGATGCACAGGCCTGTCTCCTGGTAGCGCCTCCCTGCTCTGGACACTACGCTGACAGACACAGCAAACTTTCTTGCCACAACTTGCATTGATGTGCTATCCTAGATGAGCTTCACTACATGACCCACTTGTGTGGATTGTAGACTCTGTCTCATGCTACCACTAGAGTGAAATCACCACCAGCATTCAATAGTGACCAAAACATCAGCCAGAAAGCAGTGTGGTTCTGCAGGTGGCGACCACATCTTTATTGGGGATGTCTTGCTAATTGCCAATAATTTCCACCTGTTGTCTATTCCATTTGCACAACAGCATGTGAAATTGATTGTCAATCAGTGTTGCTTCCTAAATGCCCAATTTGATTTCACAGAAGTGTGATTGACTTGGAGTTACATTGTGTTGTTTAAGTGTTCCCTTTATTTTGGTGAGCAGTGTATTTCTTCTAATAGCTCTATCTCAAGCAAAGGTTTTATAATGTCAAGAGTCAAATAACCGAGGTACCACTGTTTTAATTTGTAAAGTAACTAATAGATACACAGTATGTGTCATGTCAAAAGTATTTCTGTTAATACTAGACCTGATGGTCTGCGCCTGAGCCTGTTCCATCCTTGTGACAGTATCAGATTAAATAAAGACTGTCATGCTGAACCACACTTTAACCAAAATAACACTGCCATTGCACCATTTCCTTTTGTAATGTGTTGTTTGTTACCAAAGTAGAATAATTTCCTTTTGATTCTTCTACACAAATAAATGAGATACTTGTGTCTTAACTGTTGAATAATGGGAGGAGAAATCACATGTGGGTTAACCAAAGGAGACTGTCTTCATGGCAAAAGTACATTTATTTCAAGAAATGTCTTATATTTCAAGGTCAAATAATACTTTAAAAGTGACATGATTCAAAAACACAATTAACAGTTAATGACAATTCAGAAATTATGAGAATCCAAAGCACTGTGTACTTGGTTTAGGCATGTGAGATATGTTGACTGAACATTTTAAACACTGTTGTTGATTTCTGGAATCATGATCTACGTGACATCACTCCCTCTTGGGTAAACAAACATTAATCTTTTCTTGTTTTTTAATTTATTTATTGTATTTAAATAGCAGAAAAAACACATTTTAAGGCTTTCAGATCAATGCTTTTAAAACTCCTGGAAGACCGTGAAGAACTACTCTGCTTATTCCCAGATGAACCTCAAAGGCAAATCACCAAGTTTCTCCTGAAGGACTTGATCCACTTTTTCACTCTGTGCAACAGTCAGTGTGTTCTTCCAGTCTCCAATCTGACCTGTAATGAAGACAAAAACACAACACCTGATATCACATTTGTCTGCACAGCAGCTGCAGGTCTGTTATGTTACCTTTGCGCAGGAATTTTCCACTGAACCCCTCTGGTGGAACATGCTCATAATTTGCTTTCGAATCATTCTTCATGTTCTCAAACTTAGCTTTTTCCACAACATGACTGATGGCAGCTTCAGTCAGGTCTTTCCCTAAGAAGTTGCAGATCTTCTTCACTGATCCTTTCAGGTCATGAAATAAAAGCAAGAACGCAACAGAAAAAGAACCTTAAACTCTGCCAAATATTTTATTTGAGTTTCCTTAGGAACAACAAAAATGCGAAGAAACATCTTACCAAAATCATTTCCTCATAGGTCAGGAAGAGGATGTTGTACTGGTCTCTGTTTGAATACCAGTCCCTGACATGGTCAAACCAGGATGATGCCAAAACTGTATAGTGGTATAATGCATCCAGTTATTTGGCATTGTCATTTTATTGAGTTCAGATACAACCCACATGTCACAGTCAGTTGTTACCTACAGCATGACTGCAGGCATGATCAATCCACCCTTTTGGTTCTGATGGACAAAACTCAATAATAATTTAACACTCAGTCTATTATTAATCATGCTAATAATGCTGTATACGGTCCATGGCTCAAGGTCATCTATCAATAATTCTACCTCTACAATTCTCAAGCAATTATGTGACCAAAGACAGGACATGATCAGAGAATCCCTTCTCTCACCCCAACCGGTAATGGCAGATGGCTGGTTGTTTTTCCTTCCCACTGTCACCAAAGTGCTTGCTCAAAGGAGTTCATATGATTGTTGGGGTTTTCTCTGTATGTGTTATTGCAGGGTCTACTCTACAATGTAAAATGCCTTGAAGCGATTCTATTTTAATTTGCCGCTGCATGAATAAAATTGAATTGAATTGAAGTTCAGTTCAGTTCTATTTGCATAGGCAGTTATTGTGATTTGACCAAAAAATCGCCTTAAAGATGAAATGTGTCCACTGACCGCTGAAATCTGCAAAGCATTTGGTAATGTCACAGTTTAAACAATACAAGGACCACTGATTTAAATTTACAGATTGTGCTGCATTTACAAATAATTTTTCATGCAAAGTCTATAAGCAATTAATATACATCAATTAATATACAATATATATCAATATTTCAACTTCTGTCAACATGTCACCTTATAGACACATTAAATTAAATTGTTTAACTATAAAAAAAAAATAGTAGTCAAATAGTAGTCAAAAATTAGTAGTCAGCAATGGAATCTAGCAGGTAGTCATCATTATGCAGATGGCAGAAATGACAAACTTACCATTTCCTGCTATGTACCACTTAAAAAACTGCTCAAAGCTTTCCGGAGACCCCAAGGCTATATGTGCTTTGGTGAAGTGATAAAAAGACACCACGTTGTCCTTTGGATTCCTCATCAAATACACGATCTGATATATATTAAAACAAAAAACAAAACAAAGAACCCCAGAATTCAGTGTATAGTCTGTCACACTTGCCACTTAAATGTAATATTTCACTATTTAATGATAACTGGAGTTTAGGCTGTCATTCCTGTTTTATAGCTCTTTTTCCTATTTCTTCTTGATTTGATAAACCTCTGTTCAGTATCAACAAAAAACTGGAGTTCAGTAACCAATAGCTAACATGACAGAAGTTAAAGTGATTTTAGAAAGTAAAAATTTGAACTTGCTTTATATTTTCAACGACAAGCAATCAAATACTTTTCACTTTCTCAAACTTTAAGAATGCCTCTTTCTTCAAGAAGAATTGAGCTTTTATAAAGTACTAACTTTTGTCTTATTCTTCTTCACTCCTGGAGGCATGAGAGATTCGAGGAGATGTGAGGCAAAGAGCCGTGGAGAGGGAAGAAGAGTGTAATCAGCCATCTTGTACTCCAGCCACGGCATCCTCTCCACGTTGGTTGAATATTTATTCCGGTGCCCGTCCAGTTCGTAGATGGAAATGATGATCTGCTGAGCCCACACAGTGCCTGATGTGGGGAAAGACGATAGAGCTGATCAGTGGATCAGTCTGGCCAGCAACAAAACTGCAAATATAAATAATGCGTAAGATTCCTCACCGACCTGACTTTGGATAAGTGACGAGGAAGACGTCACTGTCTCTTATTTCAAAACTCTTAAGAGAGTCTATGTACTCTGGAGTTGTGTGAGTGGCCAGAAAGTTGTAGTTCTTATACCTGCACAGATAGTCACTAATCTGCTCCATCTCAGTTCTGAATCACACATACGGATACGGGGGAAGAGACACAGTATATATTGCCCTTCATCCAACGTGACAGTATTCTGCAGGGTACAAGAACAACTATAGTTAATGTTAAACTAAAAAGTTCAACAATTCGTTTTTACTTCACGGAAAAACATTTCCTGGACTATTTTTGTGCACTATAATGCTGCTGCTGGCACCTTGTTTTAATGGATTCACACACAAATTAGGTAGTGTGCAATCAGTAACAGTGTAAGAGATACAATTTAGTATGCCATACCTGAACATGAGTCGATGTCTCTAGAAGAATCAGGTGCTTTCCAAATAATAATTTCCAAATAATGGCGGATCCTACCTACCTGCTCCACGTAGGTAGGATTCTTTGACGGCTGGGTAGGACGGAAATGAGAGGTTGTGAAATTGGACAGCCTTTTAGCCTTCGTTTAAGTCTGCCCTTACTTCCGCATTTTTCCGGTCGCGAGCTAGTTTTTTTGTACATTTTTAATTCTCCAAGAGCTAGAAAAACTTTGTCATCATCGCTGACATGTTTTGTACCTTAGGCTCATCAGAGACAATCATATCCAGGTAAAATTACTTTCTGTATCTACACGCATTTAGAATTTCTTAGCTAATTTCATGGATAATCTCAGTGACTTATTACCGGTCATTCATACACATTTACTGTATTATATAAAATATATAAACTAAATGTCTTTGAAACTTACAGAATCTAATATTTTGGTTTCTTTTTTTACATAGCACTGTATCAAACTGTTGTCTGCTGCATCGTAACAAGTATTATGCTAATAGTAATATAGCATCCACCATTTCCTGCTTGTGTTACAGGTACCGGGTGGCAGCACCTGTGTATGTGTCCTGTAAACAGGAAAGAAATGATAAGGCAGGGAGACGTGGCTTGCCGTTTCCTGAATACTCCGCCATTATTTATTTAAATTCACAAATATGCACTCCTTTTATCACTTTTACAGTTTTACAACTGTGTATTTACTTATTCCTAAACATAGCTCACACATTCTCCATATGTGTTACCAACTAGACTAAAGGGAATTAACACATTCCAATGCCATAAACATGACCAATTTTCTTGTAAGACTTGTTTCAAAATGAATTCCAACAAGACAAATCTATAAATCTCAAATAGTTTGAAAGAATGGTGTAATCAGCACCATCTT